GCGGGCGCCGGCGCGGAGGGCGGGGTCAGGGCTCAGCGACGCCGTCATTCAATGGGTGCGCTCCACTACTCGCAAAGTGCCTATTTCAAATCCCTTATTAATCGTCCCCTGGGTCGTGTTTTTTAAGGCGCCTTTTTTGTCATTGGGGGGGTCTGGTTTATTAGGGCGCTTTCTTTGGATTGGGGCGCTTTCTTTGGATTGGAGCTTAGGGGGTCTGGTTTCTTAAGGCGCCCCATCGAAGAGGGGGATCTGGAATATTAGGTCGCATTTTGGAGGGGGGTCCGGTTTTTTAGGGGAGGTCGATTAGTAAGGGATTATTCGCAGACGTCCGGGAAACATCTGTCTTCCTCTATATGCAATGTATCGTGAATCTCCCGCGGAGGATCCAGGCCGTTTGCGAGTAGCTACTTTGTGAGTAGTGGAGCGCGCTTGTCGAGTAACCGGTACCCACTAACAGGTACTTTGGAGATTTGTCGAAAGTTGCCACTTTAGGGCTTCTTTCTGGTACTGCAGCGTTGCCCACATCGGGGAGGGTTGGGTTCGCAGGGTCACTGGCCAAAGTGCCCGTGAGTGGAGTTCCCATTGGAGGGGCGCTGAAGGGCGGGGGTCAGCCAGAGCGCCGGATCTCGCATTAAGTCGGGCATGTCCCTCTACAGGAGGAATATTCAAGAGTAGTAAACGAATAATGTGGGGATGTTTTTTCGTGGTCTTTTGCCTATTTGGTCGCATTTTTTGTTTTTTTGTTTATCTTTCTCACAACATCCGCCTGTAGGGTCGGAGCGGGGTCAGCCAGAGCGCAGGATTTTGCATTAAGTCGGGCATGTCCTTCTACAGAAGGACTATTCAGTAATAGGAAATGAATGGCCAGGGGACGATTTTTCGTGGTCTTCTGTTGTTATTTTTAAATGCATTTGGATTTTTTCAAAATTCCAAGATCCGCCTGTAGGGTCAGGGCGGGGGCCAGCCAGAGAGCCGGATTTTGCAGGGTCCTTCAAAGTCCGGGTTGCACTGCCCCGGGATCGTGCGCAGGATGGTGCAGGGTTTCGCAGGACCCTGCGAAGCCTGGCTAACCTGGGTTTGCATTGACCCAGGTCGGTAGATTCCAGAAAGGCTAATCAGGGTAGTGGGGGGGAGGGAGAGGAGGGGGGAGTTAGGGAAACATAAGGCCCGAGTTCACTGGAGCTCGGGTTCGCCGATGCTTTTTAAGGGGCCCGTCCTGCATGTTGACGGTCCAGGGAGGGGAAAGGAAAGATGAGGATGAGGACGAGGGGGAGGCCGAGGGGGAGGACGAGGGAGGAGGAAGACGAGGACGAGGAAGAAGACGAGGTGGTGGGAGGAGAAAACTGAGGAGGAGGATGATGGTGAGGAGGGAGAGGACGAGAGGGAGGAGGGTGAGGACGACGGAGCAATTCGGAGGGCGAGGTAATTCTAGCTCTTGACGCTTGGCGTGTCCCATTCGGCCCCTCCAGAAACGATGCCAAGGCGACTTGCCTCGACCAGGTGAGCGTAGGATTATGTCGGGCGTGTCCCCCTACAGGGGGATTGCAGACGAAAAAATAAAAATATCCCCCAAATGCCCCAAACATATTCCAAAAAGGTCAAAAAATAATCAAAAAATAGTCCCCATATTATTTTTGGAGTACATTTTGAACATTTGTTTTGTTTTTTTTTCGTCGAAAATCCCCTTGTAGGGGGGGACAGGCCCGACTTAAGCGTAGGAGCATGCAGTGGAGCAAAGCGGCTGGGTGAGGCGTTCGAGGCTTTTGGACGTCTCCGTCGGCTCCCGGCGGCTCTCCTGCCTCGGGGTGCTCTTTCCAGCACCGGCGCCTCGCCGAGAGTCAGGAGGGGAAAAAACACACACAGACACAATTAATCGTCGACTCCCCAGAAAATATGGCAAAATATGGGAAGTGGGGGGGAAGACAAAAACTTAGAAAAAATGGGAAATATAGGGGATCTTTTTATTTGTGTGTATTTATTTGTGTGTCCCAGGGCCCCTTCAGAGAGGCGTCCAGGGGTGCCCAGATCGTCCCGAACGGCCGCTGGAGACCCGAGTTACAGTGGAGACCCATGCCAAGAAACACCCTCCTTGCCTGCAGGGTGCCCTGGGTTTCTTGGGTTTCGATGGTTTTGCCATGGAAAGCGTGGCGCCCCCTCACCAAAAACCAATCGACGTCCTGGGGTCACAGGGTTGGGTTTCCTGTGGAAGGTTTCTTGTGGTCGGGCCCCTACTGTATGATCCGATAACCAGACGATCAGGATCACTCGGTGCCCCCTGGTGCACGGAGGGCGGGTTCATGGGGTAATTCCAACGACGCTTGGGGTGTCCCCACTGGCCCATCCAGAAGCGATGACCAGGCGAGTTTTTTGACCAGGTGAGTGTAGGAGCAAGCAGTGAAGCAAAAAGGTGGCGCAGCCGTCAAACCGAAAATCAGGGTCAGCCTGAGTATGCCCAGGAGTCAGCATACATACCTTGGCGGATCGTTCAATACGGAGCTTCTGTGCAGCTTACTTGGGCCCTCTTGGTGCCATTCTGGAGGCCTTTGTGGCTTTCTCGGGGCCCTCGTGGGGTCCTTAGGCCTCTTGAGGCCATCTTGGAGGCCATCGATGAAAGAGAAGGGGGTAATTGATTACGCCCCCCCCGTCAGAAGCCTAAAAGTCGCTTCTTTGGGGCGCTCCTAGACGCTCTCGGGGCCATCGTGGGGCTCTCTCTGGTCTCCCTTGGGGTTCTCTTGGGCCATCTTGGAGTTATCTTGATGCCTCCAAGGCCGATCGGCAGCGGTGATTTTCATGAGTTTCGGACGGGTTTTGGCCTCTCGGGGGGTCCTTGGAAGGCTCCGTGGCCACTTGTGAGCTGTCTTGGGGCGGTCTTGGAGCCTCTTCGAAGCATGTGAGAGTCCATCTAGAGCCATCTTTGGCTATATTGTGCCCTTTTTTGGAGGCCATGCTCGGCTATCTGGGGCAATCTTGAAGCCATCTTGGGCCATCTTGGACCCTTCAACGACCCGCGGGGGGGAGGGCTGAAGGCCCTGGGAGACTAGGGGGAGAGGCAAACGTTACGGCTGCCGTGCTTTGAGTCCGTTCAACGTCGCGGCCCGTAAGATTGTGTGCACATGATGCACAATTAATGGGTTTTGTGTCGTATTTTATGTTGCTGTTCGGAGTTTGAACATGCGTTGGAGCGCCCACTCGTAGGTTCCACTCTTAGTCTCCACATCGGCTTGTTTTGGTGTTTTGATTCGTCGCCACCTATAATTGGCGTAATGCGCCCCATCCTCTGCTTTGCACTTGCACTTGCACGATTTTGGGTATTCCAATGTGTGTATGGGGTACTTGGAGAGGTTCCGATGCATCGCCATGCGATCCTATCCTATGTCCCCCCATGCGTTCTAACGTATTCTAACGCATTCGTTTGTATTAATATCTGCTCCTATTTATTTCTATGTGTTTTGATGTGGGTTCCAGTGGAGTCCAGAGAAGTTCAACGGAGTTCTATTTAGACCAATTGAGTTCACTGCAGTTCAATAGGAGTCCAATAGAGTCCTGTGATACCCAGGGAGGCCCATGGAGTCCTCTGGGCTCCTACGGTGATCAATGGAGCCCAATGGAGTCCAATGGAACCCTATGAACTCCAACGGAGGCCAATGGGTCCAATAGAGTCCAGAGGAGACGAACGGACTTCACTGGAGGCCAACGGAGTCCCTTGGAGACCATTGGAGTCCCATGGAGTCCAACCCACTACTTCAGTCAATTCGTGCGTTCCTGTCTGGAGTGTTCGCTGTCGTACATGATAGTAGTATCATTACCCCAGTGCGACCCTACCTAGAAGTTGGAGTCCCTAGAAAATCAGCATTAGTTGCTATGCTATGCTATGCTATGCTATGCTATGTCATGCTATGCTGCGCTATGCTATGCTATGCTATGCTATGCTATGCTGCGCTATGCTATGCTATGTTATGATATGCTATGCTATGCTATGCTATGCTATGATATGTAATGCTGCGCTGTGCTATGCTATGCTATGCTAAGCTGCGCTATGCTATGTTATGCTATACTATGCTGCGCTATGCTATGCTATGTTCGGCTATGTTATGCTATGCTATGCTATGCTATGCTAATGCAGCGCTGCGCTTAAGCTAAGCTAAGCTAAGCTAACCTAACCCTCTAGACAAAACCTAGGTAGGGAATTACACCCATGCTAATGCTGGGCTATGCTACGATATGCTTTGCTGCGCTATGCGATGCTACGCTATGCTATGCTATACTGTGCTCTGCGATGCTAAAGCTCAGCGAAATTAAGATGAAGCTAAGCTAAGCTAAGATAAACCTGAGCTAAGATGAAGCTAAGCTAAGCTAATATTAAATAAGCTAAGCTAAGATGAGATAAGCAACGCTAAGCTAAGGGGACGTAACTGGGGGAACCGCGGGGCGGATCCTCACTCTGACGTTTTATGTTGTGCTCGTGTGTCCGTGAATCATAGGGGAGACAGGGCGCGTGCGTCCCCGCCCGCGCCCTGTCTCCCCAATTAGGGCTACCCGCGCCCCGTTTAGCCCTTGACCGGAAGGGGCCCGCTCCCGACCCGCAGACCAAAAAGTGTCCGTGAATCGCGCGATTGGGATAGCCTTCCTGAGGGGCAGTGGATTTATCGATCTGCCTTTCCTGGTTGTGCTCGTCGCAGGAATGTGCACCTCCACGGCGACTTCCGAGTCTCTCGATCCTCGCAGCCCAGCGGCCCTCGCAAGGGGTGCTGGTGCTGGCAGACTGCCTCACAGTGAGCCCAGCTCGGCGTCACCCAAACATGCAAATACTACTCCAGATTTCACAATAAAAGGGGTGTGGTCTGATTTGGGATGGGGTCAGATTTGAGCTGTGTTGGAGGGTTCCAGTGGGTCTGGGCAGAAAGCCGCCCTTCATGGCTTGTTTGGGGGGGTCTAGAATTGCCCGTCTGTGAGGGTTGTGACCCCCTCCCTTTTATGGCGAAATCTGGAGTATGTTTGCG